TCGGCACCTCAAAAACAGCAGCAAAGTCCTCCAGTACCTCGCTGATCTCCGGTGGAATGGGCTGTCCGCTCTCGGCAGTGGCGGGTACGATGGCAGTGTCGGCTTCCAGGGACAAGATTTCATAGCATTCCAGCAGGGTATGTGAGCGTTGCAGGCCGTGAAACATAGAGAGAGAAACCTGCTTATTAGAGGGGGTACTGCCATTCAAACGAACCGGGTTGCCATCCCACAAAAATTCCATGGTTAAGTTGGCGTAGTCGTGGCTAACCTTCCCGAGGTGTTGTAACCATTGTATGCCTAACACAATATCCTGACCATGAATCGCGAGGACATATAGATCGACAAGAAAGTGGTGACCTTGGAGGTTAAGGCGCGCGGCTGGACACTACGCTGTGCAAGGCATGGAGTCCCCATTCCCGACGTACACCCGAAAGGGTTACACCGCTGTAATAGGTAACTGTATCCGGGACGCCACTTCGGGATGCACAAAATTATGAAAGCTACCGCCGTCGATTAATACACGGACCTCGTGGGAGCCCAACGTGCCCATGAGACGAAGGGCCCGCGGCAAGGTGAGACCCATGAAGTTGTTCAAGCTTGAGATATCTGCTTCAACTACCAAGTCGTCTTGTGCGGGTCCGGGGTCGTCCTCATCCTCGTCCCCACATAAGAGTAAAAATCGACCGCACTTATGCGTACGCGACCACTTTTGATCACAATTATAACAGAGACCTTTAGCATCTTTTTCCAATCGTTCGGCTCTAGTGAGACGGCGGACAGGAGCTGTGGCAGTGCTCACCCCTAGGGTCTTGTTTGGAGTGGGTAAGAGGCCGGCAGTGGTGGGAGGGCCTGGAATCGGGCCCTTGGTTGCTGGAACAGAGAACCCCGAACTTTGTCGTTGTGCCACGGCAGAAACAAGTGCAGCGTGTTTGGCCTCTAACTCACGTGCCAAAGCAAAGGAATCCGAAAGAGTACGGGGTTTCAGCAAAACGATCTCCTGCTGAAGATGAGGTTTAAGCCCTGCATGAAATAAGGATACTAAAACCTCCTCACTGGCACCTGTCATGTGTTGCAGAAGCTTCTCGTACTCGGTTTGATAGTCCATGACCGATCCCCGCTGCTGTAATTTGGCCAATTGGCCAAAGTAATGCACATAATGTAAAGGGTCGAAGCGCTGACGAAACTTAGTAACAAAATCATCCCAGCCGTTTAGCAAACCATTCGTAGAACGCCATTGAAACCAATCGGCAGTCGCGCCTTCCAATATGAGGGCTACACAATGGAGCCGTTCATCAGGGGGCGTGGCATAAAAAGCAAAATACTCCTTAACCTTGTAAAGCCATCGGAGAGGGTCTGACCCATCATATTTAGGCGATTCCAACTTTGGTCGAGGCGCATAACCACCAGTCTCCGGTCCCGAATCGCCGTCCAATGAAGGTCCCCAAGACCCACCAGGCCGTGAGAAATCAGGCGGCGGATCCGAGTGGCTGCTGCTACTGGCCAAAATTAGCGCCTCCAATCGAGCAAAACGTTGCTCCAAATCCTGCTGGATTTGGTTGACGGATTTCTTGAGTGCGGCCACCTCATCATCGCGTCCGGCTTCTTGAGACATGACGAGGGCAATGAAAGCACCAGTTGATACGAACAAGTACCGCAAGGGAGAGCTTCGAGTGTCTCCAAACTCCTAGAAGAGAGGAACGAAGGTGAGAAAGGAAGAGAGAGAGAGATCGTGCGGCAGAACCACACGCCACAGGGAGAGAATTAGGGTTTTGGGTATTTTCTTTCTTATTAATTAAGAGGAGTAATATCCATATTTATAGTAGAGACCTCCAACCTAAAACTACTTTTGCTATCCTGACGGTTCAAGAAAAGCGACGAGGTAAAGAACCGTAAAGAAACCCTCGAAGGAGCTTATCATTCGCTCACCTAGGAAAATACTAAAATACAATAATTAAAGTATTGAAACATCAAAATTAAATAACTCAATTGTCTAAACATAATCCTTCTGCCCACGTGGACTACGTCTCGGCCTTGTACTTCGACGTGCATGGGCTTCCTGCGCCTCCAGGCCCACATGCATCTCCCTTTCCCCTTGTGACGAGCTGCCCACTTCCGCGTTGCTTTCCTCTCCCGAACTTCCCACGTTGTCGTTGTTATTCTCTGTTTCCATGCCGACTTCATTCGTGTTCGTGTCCCTATCATAAATTCTCAAATTAGTCCTCGGTAACATGAGTTTTTCCCAATTTAGTCCTTCATAAAGAGTAATGAATAAGATGGTCCTCTATAATTGGGATTCTTCCTCAGATTGGTCCTTTTCCAAACTGTCATTAATGTACTGTCAAACTTGTAGATAAGTTTGTAATTTCCCTTACCCCTCTCATAACCCTTTTAGAGTAAAAAGACATTTTACAAAGAGGACTAAATTGAGGAAAATCCTTGATGAATCTTGACCCAACTTTCTATTAGGCTTGAATGTTACTTTCAATGCTCCTAAGTTACAATAATTATACAAAAACCTTCAATTGAACATATGGTATTTCAGCACCGAAGATTGAAGGCTTCCCTCTCTTCCGTTTTTGGCCGGCCGTGCTCTTCAAAATGGGCGATTGAGTACCCACTTTGGATTTCAAAATTCTCTCCCTTCTTCAATGTTTGGTTTAATTGGTACTGTACATTAAAGTTAGGTGAAAGGGGTAAGGGAAGTACTCCGTGTAAAACAATCTAGATAGAGGTTAGGTGAAAAAGTTAAGGTAAAATTAGGGGGTATAAAACAGTCCACATACTAGGTATTTAACATAAGGTTGGCGGCAGTATGGAAAAGGACCTCTCTGAGAAAGAATCCCAATTATAGAGGACCATCTTATTCATTACTAGGGGTGTAAATGAACCGAATCGAAGCGAATACCGATATATTTGAATTTGTATTTGTTTAATTTTTTCGAGTACGAATCCGAATCCGAATATGAGACGAATTCAAAATAAGATTTGAATAAGTATTTGATTAGTATTCGAATAGTTATCGAATCATAAACGAATATTTGAATAATCATGCTATATAATTTATATGATGGACCAACATCAATTTGTAATTTAACTTACGATACTCTTTATACTATACTATATTCCGTATATAAAAACATTAATACATCTGCAGCTTACACAAATTATATTTTATAAAATATAACTATTAAAAATCATATGCTTTAGATTTTCGTGTTACGTTAATTTATTGAATTCTTAGTATTTTAAATACACTTTATACTATATTACTTTGCTTGACTTTTGATGTTGAAAACATGGTCTGTGTATATATACATATATTCAAATATTCGAATATCATCTGAATCGAATATATCCCTATTTGTATTTGTATTTGATTAATATTCGAATCAAAAAAAATATTTGAATTTGAATTTGTATTTGAATAACGCGAATTCGAATCATCATATTCGAATACAAATCGCGAATCGAATTTAAAATATTTGATTTGTTTACATCTCTATTCATTACTCTTTATGGAGGACTAAATTGGGAAAAACACATGTTACCGAGGACGAATTTGAGAATTTACTCTAAAATTTATATAAATTTTCATTTTTGAAGAGTGGTAAAAGAGAAAATGAGGAAACCGGTGCCCCTCGACCGTATGACAAAACCTATGCGGCTGTTTCCAACGGTGCAATTGTTTCCAACGGTCAATTTTTTCAAAAATGCTGATTTTAAATTTAATCACTTTTAAAATCCCAAATCAGCCTCCACTGTCATTAACATTCACTTTCAGCTTTAAAAAGAGGAAGTAGTTCATGTGACATTATCCGGCAATGTCATGGAATGACCTGGAAGTCCTACGGTGCATGTTCCTAAAATTCTACATCCACCAAGTCTTGGGCTTGATCACTTTGTAATGGAAATTTCTTCCATAAATCGTGCATGTTCATTTTAATGACCTTAGCATTTGTAATGTTAAAGAAGTGGACCTATTGCAAAAAAGAAAATGACTAAATGCAAACCCCAAAAAAATGTGAAAAAGTCTACATTTTTGTATTTTTCATACATACACTACCTTACGATAAAAAATAGCACTTAAATTCTCATTTTGCAACATTGTCAAGAAATCTTGGGGTAAAAGATGCGACCTCTGCGTTTACGAACACTAATTTTATCAACTCCAAAAAAAATTTAAATGCACTATTCACTCGTCTCTAAGACAGACACATCAACTAATATGATGGAGTGAATCAATCTTAATGATTATTATACCTTAAAGGACAATAGATGTAACCATCCCAGTTTGTTTTCATGGGATATTTTAGTCAAGGTACGAGCAATCATTTTAAACCCAGACCGGTCATGCCGAGTCTCGGGTTTTTTAATTTTCCCAAATCCAATCTGGAGTTTTGAGGGTTTGGGCCAAACCAATATTGGTTGTAAAATTAATTGGTACGAACATCCGGTCCAGTTCAGGTTCAATAATAGTGTTTATAGGAGGTCATAGATTTGGCATAGTGATGTCCAATCCATTTTTTGTGCAATCATAATCAATTAGTAAACACACCAATCCCGTTCAAGAACATATTTAAGGAAGAAAAACCAAACTAGGACTAAAACATTGAGAATATACCAAAATAGGACTTCCATGTTATTATTCCCGAAATAGGACTTACATTACCAAACATGGTCATATACATTACCAAAAAAGTATAGTAATTTGCACATGTACACTGCCACATTACCACAATGCAAAGTCACATTACCACAGTACAAAGTCCTATTACGGGAAAAAAACATGAAAGTCCTATTTTGATACTTTTCTCTATGTTTTAGTCCTATTTAGGATGATTTCCACATATTCAAATCATGAAAGATACGCATTCTAAAACCACAAATAAACTCCACAAAAAAATTCACTGTTTTTCACATCCAAAGAAATCTTCTGTGATCTCAATGACAAGAATGTACAAGATCATGGACATATTTTTGTATGATAGAACTTTCCATTAAAAAGAATTAAGTTTTCATTAGACCCTTGAATATACAACTTACTGATTTGAGCTCTAAACTTTCTCTCTTCCTCATTACTCTACCTGAATACCTTCACCGAATCACTTTCTTCGCTCTGCACTTCTAAACGAAGTAAAAAAAACACCCTACGACATAGGATACTCTAGCAAAAAAATGCATGAGCATATTCCAAGCATTCCGGTATACATTATTTACACCATATACTAGTAGAACGAATTTAAAAAAAATTATTCAACGTTTTTAGTAGAAGAAGTCGTTGTCTTTGTCATTTGCTGCATCCTTACGAAGCATTGATCGAACTTCGAGAATGGATCTTGGTGGCTCCATGTCTTTCTCTTGAAGTGCATTTCCCAACAACTTCTGCATGTGTGAGGCAAATATTTCTTCCAAAATCTGCGTTTAAAACAAGAAATACGACCATTTTTTAGTAACGGGGGCATTTTTTGCTTGAAAAGTTTTGAAGATCACACATTTTTGCGCATCTCAACACTCCCATGTAAAAAAATGGCAGGTCAAATCCGTTCATGTCAGGTAAGAATAGATCGGCCTTAAAAAAATCAGATGAGATTCAATAAGCTCAAATAAAGAGAACACTGCCTTACCGTTACTGCAACACGCGAGGCATTATACCAAGACCTGCTATCTTTTCTATCTTCCAAAAACTTTAGCACGTCCTGAAACAAGAAAAGGGAGATTCATTTATCAATTGCAAAGACGGTGAAAAAAAGTATCCACACAACAGTGATGATCATCAAGTAATAAGCATTTACTATACGTTATTGTACCTGTCCCATCCGATCCCAAAAGCCTCGACAAATAATTATGAAAACTTGTGTTTCAAACACTGCATGAAGTTGTTCTATCATATTTTCTAGCATTTCCTTCAAAGGCTGCATCCTACTGCGCAAGTCTGATTCGACTATTCCCTCCTTTGCATCTTGGATTATCTTCTTCAACTTTGTGCTGTTCTGCAACTTTGTCTGTGCTTAGAAGAAAGAGGAAGTTAAAAAAAACCATAACACTTGTGCTATGCACCAAAAATAACAACCCAGAAAGCGTCTGGGTAGCACAAAAAAGAAGCATAAGAAAATAAAACATGTTGACGAAATGTGACCAATCATCTATAAAATGATGACGGCATATCCTCAATTCCGTTCATTCACACTGCGTTTGATTGGAGGAATTTGGAAGGAAAAGAAAAGAAAATGATTTTTTTCTCATTTTCCTCAACAAAATGGGAGGAATTGGGTTTTGCCTCCTCTTAGTACATTTTGCCTTCTCATTTTCTATTCCTTCTCTTTTCTTTTCCTCTAACCAAACATGAAAATTTGTTTTCCCTCTCATTTTCTTTTCTTTTCACTTTCAAATTCCTTGAACCAAACAATGTAAAAAATAAGCATTGATAACTTATGAGGGGCAAAAGCATTTAACAGCTATAATAGATGTATATAAATTGATCTGGCACAGACAAGAACTGAAGGTAAAAATAAGAACTTGATGGAGTCAACATTAACCGTATAATCAGGAGAACATGAAACTCGGTGTAAAATAGATATCAATGGCCGGATTGGCCGCTCTTGAAAGGTGGTAATTTTTAAAATAGAAATGGTCAAGTAAATACTAACACCACTTATAAAATAGAGTTTGCTTCTTTTGACATTCGAGCCAAATGTCGTAATATGACACCAGTTCGATTGGGGCGCCTGTTTGTAAAGCTGATCGTTCCTACCCCCCCGTAAACTCCCTCAACCCGTCCAGAACAGATCCCCCCCTCTAATTTAGTTGACTTTGAGGTCAAATTTTGACCCCAAAGTCAACTAAATGTGGAGGGTGCAATTGAAGGGGATGGAAGGGATTCCCAGAGAATTAGGGGGGTAGAAACTGTAAGTTTTACAAATGGGGCACCCTTGATGCCCCAATTAGAGCCAATGTCATATTATGACATGGACTCCCAATGTCAAAAGAAGGGAGCTCTATAAAATAAGAATACCTACATTTTCAACAAGCCTATCCATCAACGCTTGCATATAGCCTCTGAATTTTGTCCGAAGCATTATTGTTATTTCACTGATACGCTCTCCTGCGAGGACATTGCCGCCATTGGGTAGGCAAGCACCCCATGACTTGAATTGAGCTTCTATTTGGGGTCGTACAATATCAAGCATCCTTTTCATGGAATTCAGAAGAATTCCCAACTTAAGAAGAAAAAAATAGATTCAATATGTTTCTTAGATATTAGAGAAAATGAAACCGGACGGGAGAAAGGGTAAATCCAGTTAGAAAAGTTATGCACAAAATGTTAAAGCTCACCTCATTGGGAACTGCATATGGACAAACATTCCCCTTGGTCATTTTATGGACGTATTTCAGACCTAATTTAAATGGCATCCCTGTTTCTTTGAGTGGAGACAGAACCTCCGCATACTGTTTGTCCAAAGTTTCTATAACTGCCCTCTCAACATCAGCTATAGCCTATAGAAAGTATAGAAGGAAGAATATGCGAGTCAGCAAATTAACGTAACCGTTCGGTAAATGTCCACTTTAGCAAAATGTAATTCAACTTAAATGAATCGAAAAGAAATCTCGCAGAACAGGTCAATCAGGCATGATATAGTGGTAAAAGCACCCCCCCCCCTCCAAAGTTGGTTTCTTTCTACTTCTAGCATAATACATAGGCTCAATGAGAATTATGGGGGGAAATGAAATAAAAGTTAAAGATAGGCATACACTTTCTAATGGAAAAACATATTCGGGCCAGCGACTGATGACGATCTCATATTCACTCAAGGTTTCCTTCAAGCGATCATAGATGTCATCGATAAAAGGAGTTGTGGAAGGCTGTGTGTCCATGCTAGACCACTTCATCTGCAATTAAGTCGGCAGCATTATGAAGGGAAATATTACAAACAATCATGTACTATGAAGCTTTCATTAATGACTGTAAAATGAAGTACTTCAGCATTATGAAAGTCCAATCATGTCCTTCGGTGAGATCAATGTTCCTTGCCCAGTTCCCAGAACAAGTACATGGTTCAGATAATGTTACTGAAATGATAGTTTACCTCATCCTGGTGGTGAAGATTATACTCCCTCCGTCCCAAAAGAGGTTCTACATTACTATTCTTGTGATCAAATTAATTTATCTTCTTTCCTTAAATATTTTCATTGATTATTTGACAAAATAAAATAGTCATGCCACCTCTTGTTTTGTGGAACTTTTGATGAAGTTTTAAAATTTCTAAATTTTATTTTTAATAAATTGAATTGAAACTGGGGCGGAGGGAGCAATAAAAGTGCTAGCTACTACATGTTAACTTTTTCATTTGTACTAACTAGAGTAACAAAGTCTTCTCATATATTTAAAAGAGAGTCCAATGTTAGCACACACTACATACACTCTAAAAAAATGCCCCACAAACATAAATGATTCAGTGAGAACCAAACAAGAAATTCCATGAAAAAGTGCAAAACCAAGTTCAAAGCAATGTGTTGTCACCATAGAAGGAAACGTCGAATACCTTATCAATCTTGCACAAATCAAGCAAAGAAATCCGTTTGTCATAGATCCAGCGCTTTATGTATAAGTCGAACAACTCCTTTGCATCAACTCCACCTTTGACATGACTGCAAAAGACAGTTTCAATTAAGTAAAGATATATGTCACATGAAAACATTGTAAAGGTAGTGAAAAGGGAGAGTGTCCTGAAGAAAAACAAAGGACACCTTATATTCCAGGAAGTAAGATCCCTCTGAAAATCAGCCGTTGCGTTAATGAGATCTGCCATGGGAGATGATGGGCCAGCGGGAGGACATGAAACTAGGAATGCACGCAATCTGTTGCATAGCTCTGTGCTATATATGGCTGAAGACAGATTTGGAAGGTCCAAGAAACTACAGAAGTACAAAGAAGCACAATTAATTACTAGTGGAAAGAAACCAAAAAGAAGACACTTGGGAAATCAATTCTGTTAATGCAGATATGGAGCATAAGTAACCACAGTTAGACCCGGAAATGAGACTTCCGAGTTCAACTTTAAATCAGAATGATAACCAAATAAACATATGTGATGTTACCCAACTTGAGTTGATGGAGATAAGAAAGAATACCTTGGCAGTACATCTTGTTGGTGGATCTCCAAGTCAGTAAGAATTTCATTTCTGATATTCAAACAAAGTGAGACCATTTTCTGATAAGCTGTTGAAAAAGCTACAGGATCCATCAAAAACTTCTCATTGTTATTAGATACAAATTCATCTGTCCCTGACAGGTGATGTTTGGATCTCTTCTTTGCAGCAATCTAGATGAAAGGTTGAATATGCTTAGAATCTATTTTACTACAATGTCATATTGTTAGTGGATTATTATTATACAGATGTTCAAGATGGTTAAGGTTAAATAAAGCAGTCTTCAAACCTGAAAGTATCTGCAGAGCTTTAGCTGTGCCTCCGGAGATAGAATATCATGCAGAAGACTATAGAGCTTTAAAGCAGAAGCAAGAGCAGGAGGAGCAAGGCCAGTAGCTGGTCTGAATACATCAGCTATCCCGGTTGGCAATGATTCATCCAGAGACTTGTAGTTTTCAAAAGCCAAAGCAATGATCTCTTCAACTTTCTCAGAAACTTCTCCCAGGATACGATTCTGGCCCACAATCAATAAGACATGCAGCATTACATATGCATGAAGGAACCTTTAATATGCTCAATATTTTAAAGTTTTAGTTATAACTTATGTAGACAGAACTTGGAAGGAGCAGGCCTAAACATAATCAATAACCATTTAGAAGAATAGATGTGTGTGAGAGAGGTGATACATAAAATACCTATTAAAAATGCATGTCTAACCTCTTGGTGACTCAAGCTGTTCTTAGTTCTTCCTTTCATAACCACGGGTAATATCAAATCGTGAACTAAATTCAAACAGTCTGCAGTTGGTGTGGCAACATCCATAATATATGAAAGATACCTATAATACATCAATACTTATGTTTATTGACAAAGAAAACACTGATTGAACTGTAAAATTTAAGGTAATATGCAGAATAAACAACAGATTCCACCTTAGCTTGGTGTATGCATCAGAGATTCCATAGTAGGATGCAAATTCAGATACTAGCCACCTCCAAGAACCATGAAGCAATAAATTTCTCTGTTGGAACTGCTGCACTTTCATTGCTGCCTCCAAAACACAGTCATAGGCAATAGTCTCCGCAACAGTCCCACACTAGAAATATTCAAAGCAAAATTTAGGCAAAAGGCGTTATGGCCTCATATCAATTCAAAAAGGAAAATATGTTTACCAAAGTGCAAAGCCTACAGATTAGGGAAATGAATTCTGGCATATTCTGATTACCTTAGTATCACGATTATCATCAGCACTGGTAGAATAGTTTATGTACAATTGTACTCTTCCAACAATTTCATGCTCTGGTTCATGGTATATGGGCCACCAACGTAGCTTCTCACCCTGAATTCAAGATATTAATACAATGTTCTTGTAGCATACTCAAAACGCAATTTAACGACACTGAGTTCAGAAAACCTTACATGATCTTCAGAAATATCAGCTATCTGAGCAATAGCACGGCCACAATAAATTCCTTTTGAATCCTGCACTTCAATAATTAAGTCATCTCCAATTCCATCAGGTAGGCTGTACCCAAGACAAATGAAATTCATCAACCAATATTTAGAAGATACATGAATATCAACTTATGACAAGAGATTGAACAAAGAATGTACAATATATGACTTTCCGTAGATCCAGCCTGCATTTTGACAGCTTCCACCTCGGGTAAACTCTTCACCCTCAACAAACATGAATATGTTTCTGTGATCATAAATTCAAAAAGGAATTAGATAATTGGTCAAACAAGGCACAAATGGTAGATGTAGCATATCAGTTTCAAAGATCTTGATTATGTGAGAGTTGGGTGATTGATTCTCACACATGTGAGGGACCAAAACATAAAATTTACCAAATAACAACATACTCAAGTTAATGGATTATTGATTTGAGATGAATAGATAGAGATGGATGAATTGATTTAATTGATATGTACTACTATAATGATTTAAATGAATTGATCGGAAAAGTACTTTGTCATTATCTATGAAGTAGGTCCTCAGAAGACAGGCATCGAGAGTTAATAAGAAAACAATCCGCCATTGGCTGGGGTATGAGGTATTCTTGCAGGAAGGAAGTGTTTTTCTGATGCTATTTAATTCTCTTGATTTATATTTCTAGTCAATAACTACACTTTTTCTTTAGCCTCTTTGATCTCTATCAAATTCATTACACAAAAAAACAATCATTTCAAAAAAATAAATTGGTCAAATTACCTTAAATAGTCTTATAAGAAGATACACAAAATGACGACAACACATTAAAGATTTGCACCGAGCACATTCCTCTAGACGTTTCAATGAAATAATTTTCCTAAAACAGTTGGGCTAACTCTTAGTGTCATGGTATAAATCTTTTACTCGGTAGTTGAAATGAACTTGATTGCAATCTGGTGCTTGTGGGACAGAATATTTTCCAATAACAACAGGCAACATCAAGGATTGGCATTGGGTCATTCCTATTTGCAGCCATGATAACAAAGATGAGGTACCATGATGTATGTTGTTCGTAAATGGCATTATGTTAGTTGATGAGTCAAAGGTACAACAAAATGCTATGTAGGAGATATAGAGACGAGTTAGAGCTACAAAAGTTATGATAAACTAGAGTAAAACAAAGATTTCCAGTGTAAATTTTGCACCCTTGAAGCTAAAAAAAGGGTGAGAATAGATTAGTTGATGAAAAAGTAACTTGTAACTGATTGATTCAAGTAGCCTATTATGCATTAAAGTGAGAGATTTTGACAAAAAAATATTGATGCAAGTTGGTTAAAATGAAGAGTGGCAGGAATACTGTAATATCAAAACGTGCCTCTGAGAACTGAGACGGGAGTAAATTTATCGTGGAAATAAGGGTGTGGGGCTACTTAGGACATTATAAAGACGAGTGTGTCGAAGATGCATATGTTAAGAATTTAAGATGTATGCAAGGTAAGATCTGAAAAGATAATAATTTAAACTTAACAAAGAAAATATTGAGAAGGAAATGCATGAGCAATTATTGAGTTTAAGATGTGAGAGAAACAATTGCATTAGTTCAAGCATGTTTCCATCTAGAAGTGTCCTGATACGAAGAGTGAAGTTTTAGGGTAAAAGAGAGACTTAGAAACATTGTAGTAGAAAATAATGACATGTATTAGAGGTGTAAAATAAAGCCATTATTGCATTAAGACTTCAGATAGTGATCCACAATCCTTAAGTCATGCATATACATACAACACTTTATGTGTCAAGAGAAGTTAATGGCATTTCATCCTTGCGTGTTCCGTGAACAAGTGGAATAGAGGGAAGAAAGTGATAAGTTCGACAGGTCAAACTTTATAGAATATACAAGAATGAAGATAAATATACATCTCCTACGTATGTAAATGATCTTTATACCTGGCACCACTTCGTATGATTTTGAAGTGCTTCTAAAGGTAGTATAACCAAGTTTTAAAATTCCAGATACATCTTTCATATACCGAGTACCAGCATGCAAAACTGCTAAGCTTTGATGCGAAAAAGGGGCATTTGGAGGAAGCCTAGGAGAAACACGGAGTTTCCTTATCGCTCCCCACTCAGAACTTAGTGTTGATTTTACGGTGGAAATCTGAAAACGAAGTGAATCAATCTTCTCTTTTGATGGTTTTATAGAGGAAAAGCTGCACCCATTTGGTGGTTCGAATCCCATTTTCACTCTGCGCACTGCAAATTTACAAAAAAGAATGGCATTAGAAATATTAATGCATGTTCTTGTGATTGAAGACGAGCTTGCAAGGAATGCAATGCCAGGTACCTTGGACTTTCAACTTGCCAAAAGTCTTCTTTGTTTTAACTATGGCTCCCTCACTGACAAGATCTGAAGACATTCTCCTCAGTAAATCTTCTTCTGGCTGCAGTAACGCCTGCTTTAAGCTAAAATATGAAACGAAGAGGGAACATTAGACACAGCTAAATTCATCAACATTAGAGAAATTGGCTTCTAAATGCATAAAGACGTGCTCTTTTAATCATCCTAGAGTAAATAATTACTCCGCATATGTTTTACTTAATGACAATGAAAAGCGGAAGGTACTTTCAGTAACCTTACCCAAATGCATTTCGTAATAAATCACATTCATTTTCCAAAAATACTGGAGCTTCCGTGCAGCCTTTTCCCCATGAATGGAGGCAAAGGCGTAGGCATGCCTCATAGGAAATGAAAACATGCCATGTACCTCGCCCACTGCATACAAATTCAAATGGCAAAAGCTTATTAATGCTTCAAACTTCAAACAATAAAAACAACAAATATCAAGACTCCTCTAAATATAATATATCAAACACCAATTCAAATGCAGATTCAACTACCTTGCATGGTATGTAGGAAACTGAGAAAACACATGAGTATTGGATACAACAGCGGACCTGACACACACAAAGAGTAAGTATGATTCTCCACAGTCCACACTAATAAAATTACAAGAAGAGAATCGGGCATGCTGGGCTGGTTCCAGTTAATTTTACCTCTCGGATGAATCGGGCATTCTACTTTTATCCGTGCCCTGCGATGTGCTAGTGCTTGTGGTGGCTGCCGAAGAACCGCGGGACATGTCAGTAACTTCTGCCTCAAAACTCTTAAACTGATCAGTAGTTCGGTTGAAAGAATCATAGGATCCAGCAAAGGGTGGAGCACTAGGAATGCCCTCACTGAAGATAGGCCGTGTAGGGCACTGCTGAGGACCATTTGGGGGACCCTTCCGCCTTCCATTAGGAATCTTGTCGTCCTGAGGTGATGTCTCGTACGAAAAACCCGCCACCCCAACCTCGTCGTCCGAATCAGTGTCCATGTCAGATTCATCTTGTGAGACAGAGAAGAATCCCGCAGGCATCCCCATCGCGCCGCGTCCTCTAAAACTGACCCCAATCACAGGGTCGAACGCCCTTCTTCTCTGAGCAGCCATTGTGTCAAGAACTACCCAAACCCTCAAAATCCGATCTTTACAAACCCTGAAACAGCAAAAGATTCCAACTTTATGTCCATTTCGGCTATGTATTCATCAGAACCGCACACTGCAGAAAAATAAAGAGCCCAGAAGAGTATTTTTTTTTAGAGAAACTTACAGGGATAAGGTGGCTAAGAATGCGAAAAGGCAAAAAAAAAGATCTTTAATGCTGGGTTTCTTGAATGCAGCGGCGGTTCTAATAAAACAGCCGGAAGAGACTGATTTGGTCTCACGGCATTGACTGAGACACTACCTTAGGAATCAGTGTGGTGTGAAAGAGGCATTAATGAGGGAATTCAATATGGCAATATCCAGAGATTCGGCCGGAAACTCCTCCGGAACCCGGCCCATAACATAACAATAGCCGAAAGAGAAGTGGCGAAGTGAGAAAAGGGGAGAAAAATGAAGGCAGCAAACTGGAAAAAGTGCATTTAAAAGGGGGGGAATCTTAATGCTGAGGGAATGAGGGGGTGATTAGCATGGTTCTCTTCCTAAAAAGAAAATAAAGCGCCCATTGTTACGGACTGAGGTGGGCCCGGCCAACCCGGCCACTACTTTTTTTTTATGATCCAGGTGTCAAGTTTTATGCACGTTAATTTTGGACTCGATATGCCAATCTTGCGAGACAAGAGATGAGGAGCAAAGAGGTTCGGACCGAAAAGATCGATCGATATCGAGTCGAGATAGATCGGAATTGGACTAAAAAAATAAAGTAGGGTTGTAACTCAAATAATCTACCTTTCGATATTATGTAAAATAATACCCCGGAGTATCATCTTTTCAAATAATTTTTTTTATCAAAAAAATTAAACAAGACAAATTGTCTTGGATTAATGAAAAATTTTAAGAAACTAAATTGAAATCATTGACAAGTTTGGCTTAGCTTTTGTCGTGCTTCTCTTGTATTAAACTCATCCCCTCTCTTTTGTCATATAGCGTTCAGGGGACCAATTTAGCATGTCGTTGAACGCTTGTTCATGATGCTTGGCCAAGTAAAAAGAGGGAAGGTCATGAGGAGGTGCATGACTCCTCATGAGCCGGAGCTCATGCAAATTTTCGGGGGAGAGCCTCTTGTGCAAGGGTCGCTACTTGTTTGGTCATCGGGAACAACCACAATGTTACGTCCGGGATAGAAGGTCAAGAGATTACATCAAAAATAGAAGAGCAAGCAGGGCATGACATGGGGGACTAATTCAAGGTGTATGTTCGAATGCAGCCCCGAAGTAGCATAAATAGAAGACCTCTAGAGTGGCGTGCTGATTATATCTCATAATAAGATAGCTTGGCTTCAAAATTCAGTGCCACATAGTTTAAAAAAATTAAAATTTCATATGTGCAAGGCTCGAAAAGACTACGCTAGCACGTGAGGGAACGTGTTAGAATATAAAACATATTTCATAAGTCACACCCACAAGCTTGAGCTTTTGATTGAATTAATTACTTGGCAAAAACAATAAACATGTCTTCTCTCTGGCGCAAGGCTCTAGCCAGCAAAATTTCTCCTCTCCTTTGTTTTTTTCTTTCTAGAGCTCGGAGACGCTCAAAATCTCCCATATCCGATACGATAACTGTATTAGACAACTTCCTAGGCAAGGACCGTGGGTCCTTTGATGACCATGGGTCTAACTGCCGAGGCGACATCTCATCTTAACGGTTCTCTCTTAAGTCCATTGTCCTTGTTAGAGTAAGCGGTTATTTTTTGGGTTATTAGTATAGTTTGGGCCTGTATAGTCCAGCCTGATACGACTTGTATATATATTGCTTTACGTTTGCCAGATCAGTTTCTATTAAACTTTTATATGGTATCGGAGCAGAGTCAATCATGGAAAAGAGGCGTGCAACCTGATCAGAGGAAAGGGAGGATAAGGACGGTGGTACCTCGGCCGCTGCATTGGCTGTAGGTCTGGCAGCAGCTACTTGTTGTCCCAAGGCAGTTGTGGGCTGCGCACCGGCTGATCTCCCGCCGCGTTGCCCACTGCCTCCCCCTCGAATGGCTCCTGTCGCCAAAATGGGTACGGTACGTATCCTCTTATCCGTGGCTGTTGCTAAAGGTTGGGAGATCCACCAACTTGATGTGAATAATGTTTTTCTAAATGGTGATTTAATTGAAGAGGTTTATATGCGCATGCCTCCTAGATTTTCTATTCCCGGGAAAGTGTGTCGTTTACGCAAATCTCTGTATGGGTTGCGTCAATCTCCTCGGAATTGGTTCTATAAACTCAGTGCTGCACTTCGCCAATGGGGTTTCAAGCAAGCCTATAAAGATCACACTCTCTTTATTCTTCATCATGGTTCAGATGTTCTCACGGTCTTGGTTTATGTTGATGATATATTGGTTGCTGGTAATAATGCTTCTATGTGTTCTTCGTTCAAACGATATCTCGACCGTTGTTTTCAGCTTAAAGATTTGGGCCCCGTGAACTATTTTTTGGGCATTGAGTGCGCTCGTTCCCCTTCCGGGATGGTTTTATGTCAGCGCAAGTATGCCATGGATATTTTGCATGAAGCCGGTTTGCTAGGGTGTAAACCTGCGTCTACACCACTCCCTACTACCCACGACTTGGGTACGTCTGTGGCTCTCTTTGTAACACCCGCCTTCCGTGGACCCGGTTCACCCGCGACCCAACGGACCGGTAGGGTTACATGGGCGGTCCGAGAACCGTCCGTAGAGAAAAACGCATTAATGACTATTTATTATGAAAACGGTTGTGTTTTAGTTAGTGAAATAAATGCTAGGGAGTTAATCCCATAACGTGTGTGATATAAATGCAGAGTAAAAGTGGAAGTAAATAAATGAGTAAAACGACAAATGGTTGGTTCATGCCCAAATGATTAATTAATTAAGTGTATTTAATTATTGAACTTGTCCATGCGCCGCCCATCTTCCCACCATCACTGTCCTCCAGGGTTAACACCTGCACCGTCATGTCTACCTGCGTGTAGCAAAAACAACTACATGCTCAGCAAAAGCTGAGGAGTGAATCTAACAAAAGAACATAAAGTGATAACCCATATGGTTATACACATATAAATACTTGTACTTAACGTACGGAAAACCACATGTTTGCTAACTGATTAATTTGCACTTGATGGGATATTATTACACATAACAAAATGATATACTACCACATTGAATATGGACATGATGGGAACATACATGATGATGACAACCACATTGAGTGTTGACGTGACATGAACATACATGATGACAATATGACCTGATGCATGATATCCCTGACTTAGTCTCACTTGACAGGATCACCCTTGCACTCCGGTAATGAGCCGCGCTCGACAAAACGTCGTAAGTGAACTAGCAAAACTCGGTGGTAGCCGTATCCTGACTACCATGTACGTACACAAAGCCCACCTGATGAAAACCCGTTGGATCCCAAAGGTTCCTAGACGGGCCCACTGTAGTAGGTGCACGAAAGCCTGACCTCCCTACAGCGGTATGCACATGATGATGACCCTAGGACATGCGTCTAGGATGAACATGATGAATTGAATGCATTAATTGAAGAAAGAAGTTAAATTTAACACATACATATGGGTTTGATTACAATTTTTTCAACATGATGGCCTTAGGTTTAGAACTGGCTGATAATCGATTGTCTACTGTTGAAAATCGATTATCATGCTGTGTAGCTTCTGCCCCCAAAGTCCCGCAGACTGTGATAGTCGATTGTCACCCTGTGACAATCGATTGTCAAGTTGGTTTGTTCAGAAAGTCCTAAGTTCAGAGAGCCCTAATAATCGATTATTGCCTATGTGATAATCGATTATCAGGTGAACCAGCTCTGACTCAAGAATCTGCAGGGCCTGATAGTCGATTATCACATATGTGATAATCGATTATCATGCTGTGCTGAATCAATTGAGGAGTCCAGCGTGGCCTGATAGTCGATTGTACTATCCTGTAACTCGATTATCAAGGCACGCTGATTTCCATTTTATCTGTTTGCTTGTCATCAAAACGTTGGAGGTTTTAGAAACGAATGGTTGCATTTCCATGCTAAATAATCGATGAACTTACAAGGTTTCAAAACATTTATATTAACGAGAACGTAACTTGATAACATGGACACACGTATGTTGGATGGTTAACCTACGAACATGCATAGTTTCTACGTAAGTTGCGTACGATGTTCCTATGAATATAACAACATAGATTATGACTTGATGTTCTAGAACTAAAGGAGACAACTACTCACCTCTAGTTGAAGGGATTGACGGAACGATGAAACGAGATGAACGAATAGTTGACAACGTTGAACGGCGAATGGTTTCTCGTGGACACCTCTTTCTTCTTCTCGTCCTTCTCCTTCTTTCTCTTCGCCGGAGCTCCGTCGTCTTTTGGGATTCTACTGGTCGGCGTCCGTAAGGAAGAGGGAGAGATAGGGAGTTGGATGGTTGTGTGTTAATGGTGTTGGGGGTTACAAAATGGTGAAGGGAGGAAGGAGAGAGGGTTGTATATAATGGTGGTGGTATAATGAGTATTAATGGAGAATTAAAAAAAATGGAAGAATGAATAAGGATGAGTGGCGTGTGGAATGGTTTTGGGAGTTACAAATATTTATTTACTCCGTTATATTAAAATCTGACCTGAACGGTACGCGCTTTCCCCCCTGAACGGGTCCGAATTGAGATCCGTTTGTGTTTCCGGAATCAGACAGTCAAAACGAATTTAATGACATGTTCAAATAATTTTTCTAAGAACTTTATTTTCAAACTTCCGGGTCCACCCCAATCATTAATTAATTTATTTAATTAATGTAGAGAGGTCCGTTATTAAAACATCTTTTTATATTAAAATACATTAGCTTTGGAAAGCCATTTAAAGAGATCGAAATCTCAATACTTATTAATTTAAAATAATGAGTCTCAATAAATAAATAATATTTACTTATTTAAAACTAGGCCGGTTTGTAGGGCGTTACACCCTTGCTCCACGATCCTGCACGGTTTCAGCGACTTGTTGGGCTTCTGATTTATCTAACGATTACACGCCCGGATATATGTTATGCAGTTCATGTTTTATCTCAGTTTATGAAGGCACCCACCATGAACCACATGAATGCTACAATGCGTGTCCTACGTTACATCAAGGGCCATCCTGGTCAGGGTCTTTTTTTAAGTGCTACTAGTAATTTTCAGATCTCTGCTTATTGTGACTCTGACTGGGCGAGTTGTCCGATCTCTCGCCGGTCTGTAAGCAGTTATTTTATTATGCTGGGTAATTCACCTGTTTCCTGGAAGACCAAAAAGCAAAGTACTGTTGCACGTTCATCAGCTGAAGCTGAATACAGAGCCATGGCGAATGCATGTGTGGAAATTCGTTGGATGCGTGGCATTCTCCAGGACCAAACTATACTAATAACCCAAAAAAATAACCGCTTACTCTAACAGTCCTCT